ATGAAACTCCTACTAGAGCAGAAGTGAGTAGCAGTGAGACCAGCTACTTTTAATCCTGTACGTTTGTGAAGGGTTTAACAGTCAAGCTCCTCTTCTTTAGTAGCAGCAGTAAGGAGCCAAAAGAAACAATTTTTATACAGACTTCTAAAAGGAATTTTACAGGTATTATTAACAGTTTACAAGTCCCTTTTGTGTCAATTATGTAAATTTTCTCATTCGGATAAAAGCACAGGAAGGTCTTGATATGTCTTAGTGCATTACAACAGTTAACAGTCCCAGGTTATTTCCAAAAGGGAAAAACACTAGTAATTGCATGGTGAGTGTTAAGAGGGCTTGGGTCTATAATGAAGAAATTCGGCAAGGATGTCCTATCACACCCATTCTCCCTCCCCTCACTCTCTACATGGGACTACCTCAGCCTCCTGCCTCAGCACTCACAATGTATCCAAATCCTTGATCATCTAAACCCAGAGAAAGAGGCTCTTCTCTTCCGAGTTAAGCTCTCTACCCATGCGTTGATCCCATCTCATTTGGCCGCCTCCTTGAGGAGAGCTGACTGTGACCTTCGAGCATATTTATCTAGCTAACGCAATGGCTAGGCCTGAAGACAAGAACAAATGTAACATTTACCAACCTCAGACAATAGGGAAACTTTCTTCTTTCTTTCCTTTGTATTCCTTTTGGTTGGGCAACTTTTTAAGCTTAAGAATTTATAAAAAGCAGACAGAATTAGCTCTATTAAATTTCAAAACTTCTCTAAGATAACCAAAATAAAAGAACAGGACCAAAAAAAAAAAAACACACACACAATTGGAGTAAATGTAACAATGTTAATGTCTTCATTCACCCAAATTGATTTAAAAATATGCTATTAAGATACACAGTATTGCAAAAGGGAGAAAATATTTTGATAATTTATAAAAGATGAACCAGAAACAAATATATGGAAAAATAACCATTCTACTAATCAGAAAAAAACTATAGTCAAATAACATGTGTTATTAAATTAGCATATTAAATTATAATTAAATTAGCTAAATGTATTTTTTTTTCTTTCCTTTTTTTTTTTTTTTAAGACGGAGTCTTGCTCTGTGGCCCAGGCTGGAGTGCAGTGGCCCAATCTCAGCTCACTGCAAGCTCTGCCTCCCAGGTTAACGCCATTCTCCTGCCTCAGCCTCCTGAGTAGCTGGGACTAGCCACCATGCCCAGCTAATTTTTTGTATTTTTAGTAGAGACAGCGTTTCATCATGTTAGCCAGGATGGTCTCGATCTCCTGACCTTGTGATCCACCCGCCTCATCCTCCCAAAGTGCTGGGATTACAGGCGTGAGCCACTGCACCAGGCCACTAAATGTACTATTAAATTAGCTAAACGTACCCAATTGTAGAAAAAATATTGTGAAAGTTGTACTAATTGATATAGCTGGTAGCACTAAATTAGGATAGCTTTTTCAGAACAAAATGTGGCAATATGGATCAAGAGTCTAAAAAACAGTTACGTCCTTTGAGCCATATAACTCCATTACTGTAAACCTATGCCAAGAAAATATTTCCAAAATGGAACATGAGTATTAGGATAAACAATAGGCAAAAAAATCAAATCATAGAAATGTTAGTCATAAGTTCTAGGAGCCTTTGGGCAGAGACTATGGGGTTTTCTAGATATAGAATCATATTGTCTATGAGGACAGATAGTTTGACTTACTCTCTTTCTATCTGGATGCCTTTTATTTCTTTCTCTTGCCCAATTGCTCTGGCTAAGACTTCCAGAACTGTGTTGAATAGGAGTGGTGAGAGTGGACATCCTTGTCTTGTTCTAGTTTACAAGGGGAATGCTTCTAGCTTTTGCCTAGTCAGCATGGTGTCAGCTGTGGGTTTGTCATAGATGGATCTTATTATTTTGAAGTGTGTTCCTTCAATGCCTAGTTCATTGAGGGTTTTTAACATGAAGGGATGTTGAATTTTATCAAAAGCCTTTTCTGCATCTATTGAGATAATCATGTGGTCTTTGTTTTTACCTCTGTTTATATAATGAATCACATTTATTAGTTTGTATATGTTGAACCAACCTTGTATCCCAGGAATAAAGCCTACTTGATAGTGGTGGATTCACCTTTTGATGTGCTGCTGGATTTAATTTGCTTGTACTTTGTTCATCAGGAGTCTATGTTCATCGGAGATATTGACCTGAAGGTTTTTTTCATTGTGTCTCTGCTAGGTTTTGATATTAGAATGATTCTGGCCTCCTAGATTGTTAGGGAGGAGTCCCTCCTCCCAAATTTTTTGGACTTATTTCAGTAGGAATGGTATCAGCTCTTCTTTATGTTTTGAAGAATTTTGCTGTGAATATATCTGGTTATCTGGCCCTCCATCTCAGGCCTTTTTCTAGTTGGTAGGTTTTTTGTTACTTATGCAATTTTGGAACTCATCATTGGTCTGTTCAGGATTTCAGTTTCTTTCTAGTTCAATCTTGGAATGTTGTATGTTTCCAGGAATTTGTCAATTTATTCTAGGTTTTCTAATTTGTATGCATAGAGGTATTCATAATAGTCTCTGAGGGATTTTTGTTATTTCTATGAGATCAGTGGTAATGTCACCTTTGTCACTTTTTGCTGTGTTTTATTTGGGTCTTCTCTCTTTTTAGTAATCTAGCTAGAAGTCTATTGTTCTTATTTATTATTTCAAAAAACTTTGGGTTTTGTTGATCTTTTCTATGGATTTTCGCATCTCAATTTCACTCACTTCAGTTTCAACTTTGGTCAAGTTCCAGCATACAAAAATTAATGTACAAAAATTCATAGCATTTCTATACTCCAATAATGTCCAAGCTGAGCGCAAACTCAATAATGCAGTCCCATTCACAATAGCCACAAAAAGAATAAAATACCTAGCAATACAGCTAACAAGGGAGGTGAAAGATGTCTGCAGTGAGAATTACAAAACACTGCTAAAGAAATCAGAGATTATACAAATAGAAAAACATTCCATGTATATAGATAGGAATAGTCAGTATTGTTAAAATGGCCATATTGCCCAAAGCAATTTACAGTTTCAATGCTATTTCTATCAAACTACCAATGACATTTTTTGCAGAATTAGGAAAAACTATTCTAAAGTTCATAATAAACTATAAGAGCCAAAATAGCCAAAGTAATCCTATGCAGAAAGAACACAGCTGTAGGCATCATACTTCCTGACTTCAAACTGTACCACCAAGCTACAGTAATACAAACAACATGGTACTGTAGAAAAACAGACCAATGGAACAGGTTAGAGAACCAGAAAATAAAGCCACACACCTACAACCATCTTGTCTTTGACAAAGTCAACAATAACAAGCAATGGGGAAAGTATTCCCTGTTTAATAAATGGTGCTGGGATAACTGACTAGTCATATGCAAAAGATTGAAACTGGATCCCTTCCTGTGATCATATACAGAAATCAACTCAAGATGGATTCAAGACTTAAATATAAGACCTAAAACTATCAAAACCCTAGGAAAAAAATGTAGGAAATACCACTCTGGTATAGGCTTTGGCAAAGATTTCATGATGCAGTTTCCAAAAACAATTCCAATAAAAACAAAGACAAGTGGGACCTAATTAAACTAAAGAACTTCTGCACAGCAAGAGAAACTCTCAACAGAGTAAACAGAATGGGAAAATTTTTGCAAACTATGTACCTTCAAAGTTATAATATCAAGAATCTATAAGGAACTTAGATAAACAAGGAAAAAGCAAACCACCTCAATAAAAAGTAGGCAAAGGACATGAACAGATACGTCTTAAAGACATACATGTGGCCAAGAAGCATATGAAAAAATGCTCAACATCACTAATCATTAGAGAAATGCAAATCAAAACCACAATGAGATACCATCTCACACCAGTCAGAATGGCCATTAAAAACACAAACTAACAGAGGTTGGTGAGGTTGCAGAGAAAAGGGAATGCTTAAACACTGCTGGTGGGATTAGTTCAGCCACTCTGGAAAGCAGTTTGGAGACTTCTCAAATAACTTGAAATAGAACTACCAGTGACCCAGCAATCCTATCACTGGGTGTATACCCAAAGGAATATAAATTGTTCCACCACAAACACACATGCACTTGTTATGTTCATTGCAACGTTATTCACAATATCAGAGATCTGAAATCAACCTAGATGCCCATCAGTGGGGGATTGGATGTAGAAAATGTGGTATAAATGCACCATGGAATACTACGCAGTCATAAAAATTAACAAAATCTTGTTCTTTGCAGCAACTGGAGACCATTATCCTAAGCGAATTAATGCAAGAACAGAAAACCAAATACCACATGTTCTCACTTACATGTAAGTGGGAGCTAAACATTGAGTGCACATAGACACAAAGAGGTTAACAACAGGCTGGGTGCAGTGGCTTACACCTGTAATCCCAGTACTTTGGGAGGCCGAGGTGGGTGGATCGCCTGAGGTCAGGAGTTCAGGACCAGCCTGGCCAACATGGTGTAACCCTGTCTCTACCAAGAACACAAAAATTAGCCAGGGGTGGTGGTGCATGCCTGTAATCCCAGCTACTTGGGAGACTGAGGCAGGAGAATTGCTTGAAACTGGAAGGCAGAAGCTATAGTGAGCCAAGATCATGCCATTGCACTCCAGCCTGGGCAACAAGAGCAAAACTCTGTCTCACAAACAAAAAAATCAAAGGGGAACAATAGACAATGGTGCCTACTTGATGGTGGAGGGGTGGAAAGTAGATAAGGGTTAAAAAAAAATTATTGGGTACTATGCTCACTACCTGCATGACAAAATCATTTGTACACTAAACTCCAGCAATACGTTTACCCATGTAACAAACCCGCACATATACCCCCGAACCTAAAATAAAAGTTGAAAAAGAAAAAAAAGAAATGTCATATAAAGATGGTTCCATAAAATATGATACAATCAATGAAATGGGATATAACAGTATTTTAAAGAATGTTTTTGAAGACTGCTAACAAGGAGGAAAAACTAATACATGAAATGAAATAAAGCAAGATTTAAAGTACATGTATGCTATGATTATGGCCACATTTTTTAAATTGCATGCTTAAAAAACTGATAATGTGAAATTATGGGTGATCATTTCTTTATTTTGAATTTTCCAGATTTTCAGCCAAATAACTATCAGTTTTATAATTTACCTTCCCCAAAAAACATCGCAATGGAAATGGAGAGACAAGTAGACCAAGGAACCACCAAGTGAAAGCACTGCCCAGAAACAGGAAAATCCTGGGCAAAAATAAGCAGGAGCGGCCTCAGGAGTGAAATAGGTGAGTTCCAGCAGAACCCCAGTGCTGGGTACACTTGGCCAATCTCCTCAGATGTTGTGTGAACTGGGTGGGCTGATCGTGCTACTTCCCTTCTCTCACACTCAGCAATGGTAAAACCCCCTAAGAAAGAGGTATAATCAGGATATCTAGGATATAATTTAAAGGAGAGGACTGGGGAGAAATACAGGTAAGAGGTAAGAAAACGGATGTTGGCCCATAGTGGAATCAGAGCTCCGTGGGGTCAGAGGAAAAGAATAGCAGGAGGAAGAAAAAGATGAGAGTAAGCAAGGGAAGCTACGTGCCTGGGGAGGAGAGCAGGAGGAGAATGTGCCTGAGAACAGACCGGAAACAGAAAGGCAGTGCTTTAAGGCAGCAGTGCCCAATCTTTTAGGCACCAGGGACCAGTTTTGTGGAAGACAATTACTCCACAGACAGGGTAGGGAGATAGCTTCAGGATAAAACTGTTCTAGCCCAGATCATCAGCCATTAGATTTTTTTTTTTCTTTTAGGACAGAGTCTCACTCTGTCACCCAGGCTAGAGTGCAGTGGCACGATCTCTGCTCACTGCAGCCTCTGCCTCCTGGGTTAAAGCAATTCTCACACCTCAGCCTCCCAAGTATCTGGGACTACAGGAGCCCAACACCATGCTCAGCTAATTTTTGTATTTTTAGTAGAGACGGGGTTTCACCATGCTGGCCAGGATGGTCTTGAATTCCTGACCTCAGGTGATCCGCCTGCCTTGGCTTCCCAAAGTGCTGGGATTACAGGTGTGAACCACTGCACCCAGCCTAAGATTCTTATTACGGAGCACGCAACTTAGATCCCTCACATGCGCAGTTCACCGCAGGGCTCATGCTTCTGTGAGAATCTAATGCCGCAGCTGGTCTGACAGGAAGCAGAGCTCAGGCAATAATGCTCTCTGGCCTAGTCACTCACCTCCTGCTGTGTGGCCTAGGTTCCTAACAGGCCAAGGACTAGTACCATGACCTAGGGGTTGAGGAACCCTGCTTTAAGGGCTATGTTTGGGAAACATGGAAAACATACTGTTATACACTAAAGGAATGTTTCCCAAATGCCAGTGTTGCCCTATTATGAAGTTTTCACAAATTTTTTTGTAAAATAAGAAAAAATAAGAGCAACATGATAGGGATATATATGCTGTCTTAAATTCCCAATTGCCCCAAGTTGAGAACTTCTCTTCAGTCTACCTTTCTAGGACGTTACAATATCCTCTGCTTTTGAACTATTAGTGATGGTACATGAGAGGATTTTTTCCCAATATCTTTACTTGTACAATTAAAAGTTAACAAACTACAGCTGTCTCATTTTTTTTTTTTTCACTGTACTACTTCCTGAAATCTCAGCCTGGGAAGCAAGGGAAGGAGAGTAGAAGTAGAAGCCCAACTCTCCAAATAGAGAGTGGTGTGGGAGAAGACCTAGGGCCTAGGGCATCCATTACTCTAAATAAAGTAAGATGGAACATTTGCAGAGACTATTTTTAATACTTTTCTCTGCAAGAGTCAAAACATTTTATAGAAATAAGCTGATTAGTTATCACCTTGGCCTCAAGTATTTCATGGGATATATTTTTCTTGTAGTGATTTTACATCATTTAGTAAGTTTGAACCTGTTTTAATTCTTCTCCATCTCATCATGCTCAGCTGTGATTGTAGACTTTTTAGGCTAAGAGCCTGGGGTTCATCTTGAACTGTGAGCCTCGAGTGCTTGATTGCTACAGAACTCAAGTCAAAAGTCTTTGAGCAACCCTGGTGTGTGGGTAATGTCTCCAGACACTTATTTCCTTTTCCCCTATATTCCTGTTACTAGCTTTTAAAGAAAATTCCACCATCCTTTAAAGTTGGTGGGAAGCTGTGTGTCATTCAGAAAACTTCCTCAAACCAGATATACAAAATATTAGTGATACAGTGCTGAAAAGAACTCCTGGGTGGCAATAGCGAATGTGCATTTTCTTGAGGTGCTGAAATGGCCTTTGACCTTCCACGTTACTCCCAGAAATGCCCACCGGCTGCCACAGCCAAGACCATCCTGTCACCAGTGAGTGATGCTGAGCAGAGGAAAGTCACCTTCAACTCTGTTTTACAAGTGTCCTGCAAACAGCTGATTCTCTTAGCTGGCCCTTTATCAGAGGCTGAAAACATTAGCAGAATGAGCCCCCTGTCCCTCCTCCTAACAGTTTTATGATCAAGACTAGATTCATCTGGGTGACTAAAGCATTTATTGAGGGCTTACCAAGAGCACACAGTTACAGGCATTCATAGAAGTATAATGGTTGCCATTTTCCAGGAATTTCCTCTTAATTGTGAAAAATGGAGACAAGTATATTATCTAGTGATATATATATATAAATATCACAGATATGTCTCTATTTATTAATCACCAAATGAGTGACAGAGCCCATAAAGGTTGACTTCACATAATGTGTACCCATTTAACACATAGTCTCAAACACTCTGCTTTATCATGCTGTTGGGCTGATTTATTCTCTTGACAATAGTAGAACAAAGTTTGGTGCTGATGATCCTGAAGTCCTATTTTATGTTTCCCTGTTCTTAGAGAACAGCAGTCAGCCAGATGGCATGAATCTCTGACATGCTTGACTCTGACATGAGGCAGTGATACTTAAAGTGTAGTCCTAGGGACATAGCAACTAACACAACAATGTTTCCGCCTTGCAGGTGGCTCCAGACTAATGGGAAGGAAGAGAAACAGACCAGCATCTAAATACAGAGTGATTCTTCTATTAGGCAAAATATCTCCCAACACCATCTAAAATTCTCCTTGACCCAGAAATTCTACCTCTAAGAGTTGATTGTAAGAAAATATCCTTATCAAATACACATACAAATATTTATGCATAATCATTGCAATGTAGATTATAATAATGAAACTTTGTAATATTCTAAGTTACTAAGAATGGAGAATGGCTTTAATAAAATATCCATACAATGTAATGCTGCTCAGTAGCTATTAAAAATTATGACGTGGATGTGTATTTGTGTCGTGAAAAGCTATTTATAATGCTATCTGAAAAATTTATGCTATAAAACAGTATTTGTCAACCCACTATCAAAGAATTATATACTTAGAAATATATACTAGAATATATACCAAAACTTAGTATTGTTAAATCTAGATAGAAAATTATAGGGGTTTTTTGGGGTTTTGTTTTTGTTTTTGAGACAGTTTCGCTCTTGTCACCCAGGCTTGAATACAGTGGCATGATCTTGGTTCACTGCAATCTCCGCCTCCCGGGTTCAAGAGATTCTCCTGCCTCAGTATCTTGAGTATCTGGGATTACAGGCATGCACCAGTCCGGCTAATTTTTGTGTTTTTAGTAGAGACGGGGTTTTACCATGTTGGTCAGGCTGGTCTCGAACTCTTGACCTCAGCACAGTGCCCGGCCAGTTTCAATTTTTCTATAGTTAATTTGTGTAAAGAAATAAACAGCTTAATAGATGAATAAATGATACAGGCATGATAGAGACTAGAAAAGAATCATGAGGAGGATGCGATTGTAACGCCAAGGCATTTAACCTAGAATAGAGTGTTAAAAGGTGAAGTGGGGGTAGAGAAGGCAGCACAGAGGTGGTAGCCTTTTATGAAAGACTTTGACCAATCAGGAATGACAAGACATGGAAAAGACATCTCAGGAAGAGATACCTGCATAAGCAGAGACCTGGAAGATAGTAGTATGTAAGGGAAAGAAAGAGGGTTTTGATTGCAGAAGCATCAAGTGGCAAACAGAGAAGAGATAGAGCTGGAGAGGTTAGGGAAAGACCCAGTTAAGAAGGGCATGATATGCCAGGGAGTTTGAACTTTTTTCCTAGTGGTGATAAGGAGCCCCTAAAGGATTTTAAGAATGGAGGAAAGACTTGTCAGGCTTATGTTTTAGTATTGCTATGCAAGATTACTCATAGGTGATGAGGGTGGACTGGGAGAAGCAAAGAATGGAAGAGGCAGGAAGACCAGCAAGAGGCTCCTACAGGTCTTCAGTAAGGAGAATCTTACTAAAGGCAGAGAAGCAGAGAGGACAAATAAGAGATCTGCAATAGAAATAATAGGATGTGTCTGGGAGAGAAATAGTCGGCCTGTAGAGTAGATGGAGATGTTCCTTAGGATGCAAATGGGATTCAGGGTACAGGAAAGAGATTGGTCTTAAACAGGAAGAGGGATGCCTCTTTCTCTGGAGCTCTTGGTGTTGAATACAGATCAACAGTTTTAGAGATACGGTGACCCTGTTTTATTCATGTAGCAGGAAGAGAATTATTTGCTGAGAGTAAGTGAACTGGTAAAGGGGGCCTGAGGAGAGTTGTGAAGGTTGGGCCACACTTGTTGGAGCTAATGATGTCTAAACATATGTAAGAATTCCTGGGCCATGTGGAAAGCCAGCTGAGATTAGAGATCATGAATCTGTGATAGCACCATTTGGTATGATTTTGCGACTTTCTCCAACAGCATTCAGTGGCCAAACTCTAGCTTCCAGGAAGGCAGAATGAAGGTTGCCTTCATCTTGGTTCAAAACTTTGGGGCTCTGATAGACTTGGAGGAATGTGACTGGAGGTTTGGATAAGGGCAGATGTGAAAGGATAAAGGGATATGGAAGGAGGGAGAGCTGGAAGGAGGAAGTGATGGGCCCAGAGTAGAATGTTACATATCGTCATTTTGGAGTAGTTCTGGGTGATCAGTAGTCCAGACAATGCCATGGAAATGAGTAGCTGATGTTGAGGGGAGGTGAAAGTTGGAAATCAGAACACAGGGCAGCAAATGACTATAATGTTTGTTGTAAGGTAACTTGCTATAATGGCCTTTGATGTACTTTTCTTTGGAATACAGGTACTTATTATCTTACCTGTTTTATTACTTGCAATTTTCTACACTACAATATTCTATTGCTTATGTACTTAAAGACTTTTGATGTTTTTGTTGTTGGTGGTCAAAATACTCAATTGTTGCTTATTCTGTAGAGTCAGAATCTATAGGAAAAAAAAAAGAAAAGTGAAGTAAGGTCCCCTGGCTCACTCACTGACCCACAGTGTAAAGTAGTCTTCTTCAGACCTTAGCCTTCATTTGGGAGGCTTCAGTTTAAGGCCTTTGTAGATTTCATCACAGGACCCTTGTTTGGCATGGCTCAAAAGCTTTTCTTCAATAGAAAGGAACCGAATTTACAAACATTGCTGTCTCCAAAGAACTGAAAGTGAATCAGATAAACTGTGATTGACTCAAGCCCATGGTGGGACAACCTCTGAGATAGCTTTCCTCATCCACTGGTCCTAAGTGGGCCCTTCTGTTTATTTTTAAGTCTCTATATAGCAGCTTGCCATTTCTTTCTACCATTTTTTTATCCTGCTTTTTCTTCACGTTCCAGCACTTTTTCACTGACATCACTCCACATATAACAAGAAAAAAAAATGACATTTCATTAAAAACTGCAATGAGAAGATGAAAATGTTTCTTTCTTCTCCCTAGTTAAAAAAAAAAAAGTACCAGGGAGGCTTAGTTTCACCATCTTGGGAACCTCGTCAAATTTAATGAGCCAAGAAACAGCTGGCGAACCAGATACGTGGATTAAAACCAGGGAATGGTGCCGATCAGGCATGAGTGGATGCTGAGTAGCAGAAGTGGCCACAAAAGGCCTCGAAGGTTGGATTTTACATTAAGCCTCTTTCATATTTTCCACTACAAGCAGTGTCCAGGTCATTTGTGTCACATTTGGAATTACTAGCTTAAATGCCAAGATAACTGTTTTTTTCCATGTAACTACTGGACACAAATTGTGGTGCTAATCAAACAAGACAGCACTAGAAAGAATTAAAGTCTCCTATTTTCATTATCAATTACAACCAGGCCACACTCCCTGAAGCTGTTCAGAAGACAGAAATATGAAAAGAAAGTACTGTTGTTATTCTGACCTACAGGTTTCCCTGGACTTAGTGACTCATTTTCCATTCATTCAACAATTATTATTAGACTATTACATGTTCATAAATAACCTCAGAGTTCATTTTTTAAAAATTTAAAAAGAATTAACTAACCCTCAGGGTCTCAATGGTATTATTAAAAGGAAAAACCACAAATCCCAAGTAACTAGAATTATTATCAAAGTATCAAAGGATTTGTAGCTAAGATGTGACCATTTTCTTGTAATGAGACCAGGCAATGGGACTGGTATGACACTAGAATCACCTACCAGGTCAGACTTTCTGCTGGAGTAACTGATCAGCTGTAAAAGCTAACAGCTGAGCATAGTCTAGATTTTAAAAACACACGCAAAGTCCACATCTTATGGACATCTCCAATCATGGCTTATGCATGGTTTATCCATGCTTTGGGTTCAGGATGAGAAGGTAGGGGGCCACCACAGGTCTGCAGGGAAACCAAAGAGCATGGATGCTCAGGAGGCTAACACTGGTGTCTATTAGGCCTTCTCAAGGGGAAAAGAGTGCCAGCCTCTAGACCAGGGTTAGAGACAGCCAATGTCCAGCAGGAGTCAGGAATGGGAGCGTAAAAAGCCCAGTTCTATAAACTGACACTCACATGGAAGACTTGGGCTTAAAACAAAGACTCAGAAGCTTATTCACATAAAACAGGTAAGAGGTGGAAGTAATCTTTTCAGAGAACAACTGAGAAGCCCATAATTGTCCCCAGAATATCACATCTCAGATGAAAGATGAAGCAGGTACACTGAGGATGCAATTCTGGAGCCTCATGTAGAGTGCTGGGTACTCTACCCATGCCAGGTCAGGTCAATTGCTAGAGTAAGTCAATGCTAGAGTCAAGGTGTGGGATCTAAAGCCGGAATAAATTTAAAGTAGTTTCTGCTTCCAATATTATTAACTCTGGAACCAAATAGGACAGAAATTTCACCTGAGGTGGGAGGGACACCGGAAATAGGTGAAAATGGTAGATTTATCAGCTGGAAAATGCAAAGACAAGACAAATGAAGACTCAGGTGGCTGCTGGCATTTGTTTACTGACCAATGATGCCAATAGGAGCTCCAGCTCTTTATTTTCATTACACCCTCCTTAATGAAGGTGCTTTTTTCCTCCTGTGTATTTCTTTGTGAACACAAAATTACTGCTGCAGTTTCAGACATCAGAGATCCAGGTTATAAGAAAGATGAGGGTGAATGGGGAATGGTAGGAGGAGGAACAAAACAGCCATGTTTACAAAGTCTCTCTGAGCCCCTCTTTGCTTTTTGCTTAGGATAGCTTTGGCTATTCTGGGTCTTTAGTGGCTCCATATAAATTTTAGGATTCCTTTTTCTCTTTCTGTGAAGAATGTCATTGGTATTTTGATAGGGATTGTATTGAATCTGTATATTGCTTTGGGAAGTATGGACATTTTAACAACCTTAATTCTTCCAATTCATGAACATGGAATATCTTTCCATTTCTTTGTGTCCTCTTCAATTTCTTTCACTAATATTTTATAGTTTTCATTGTAGAGAACTTTCACTTCTTTAATTACTGGGTATTTTATTTGCAGTAGTTGTAAATGAGATTAATTTCTTGATTTTTCAGGTTGTGCCCTGTTGGCATATGGAAATGCTACTGATATTTGTATGTTGATTTTTTATCCTGCAACTTTACTGAATTTATCAGTTCTAATAGTTTTTTGGTGGAGTCTTTTTCCAAATATAGGATGATATCATCTGTAAACAAGGATAATTTACTTCTTTCCAATTTGGATGCCCTTTATTCGTTTCTCTGGCCTGATTGCTCTAGGTAGGAATTCCAAGCCCTTTTTTCAACTAGGTCCTTGCTTTATTTCAACTAGGTCCCCTGATATCTCAGTCTGATCAAAAAGTCCTCATCACCCATCCTTGATATCTGATCACCCTGGCCTGTCTTCAGCAAGAATGCTGTCAGGTCAGTTTAGCAAGAATCCCCCTACCCTTGAGATCTCCTCTGAGTTATTTTCCATCCACTAACCGCTCATCCTTCTCATTGGCTGTAAGTCCCCAGGCGTCTTTACTGTATTCAGAGTTGAGCTTGACAAAGCTCCCCTATTGTGATTGTGTTGACACCTATTACAATACTCCTGAATAAAGCCCGTCTTACTGTTTTAACTAGTGTCAGGATAATTTTCTTTAACAATATCTCCCCTTTTAATAAGTAAAAATTTCCCAAGTCCCTAAACAGACACCAGTACATCTCATTTGCCAGAACTGTTGCACAGTTAGCCCTAGCTGCAAGGTAGGCTAGGATAGTAAACACTTCACTTGGTGAACATATCACTGCCTTGAATAAAATTGGGTTTCTAATAGCAAGCAAAAGAGGGCAGTGGATATTTGGGAGGCAGTTAATAGTGTCAGCCAGAGAGACCAGAATGCCATATAAACTAGTACAAGAGAGGATGGTAAAATGGTCATCTCCAATGTAGGGAAGCCTAAGGTACTCGAGCAGTGGGAGTAGACATCTCCAATCATGAGTTGCTTGGGGAATAATTTGAGATGAAAGTCTGAAAAAGTTCTGAGTATGAATTGTCTGGAAGGCATTGAAAAGAAGAAACAGAATGAGCCAAGGCAGGAAGTAGCTAGGTGTTGGGAATGAAAAGAAACACAGGGGAGAAGTAAGAAGAAATGAAGTTGGAAAAGTTTCAGAAGATGAGAGATGAAATCAACTCAACAGGGCCATGTTTGCTTTTTGAAAAGTACTTCTCATAGTAGAACAATACAAACAACAATTTCAGAATATTTTGTTAAAAATATTAGCTAAAAGGAATTATTAATAATTACCCTCAGTAGATACAATAAGTATTAACTGGGTGAATCCTATAACCCAAACACTATTCCAGCTACTTTCTTTCCTATCATCCTGATGAGGAAACTGAAGCACACGAAAAGTAATTTACTCAAAGTCACAGAGCCAGTAAATATCAAAGCTTGGATTATAAACCCACATAACCCACATAGCTCCTATGTTCTTTCTTCGCCCCCATATTCTTGATTCTATCTAATGCCTACTGCCTCTCTCCTCTGAAAGGAGCTAACAGGAAGAGGTTGCTTGTTCAACAAGACATTCCTCTCTGTACTTCATTGAAACAAAGATTGAGTTAACTGTGGAAAAACTAGTAAACTTTCACACATCAGGTGTCACTGATTTGGTAGAAATTGCTAAACCCCTAGTATCCATTTTCTCCTTCCTTTTGTGCTAGAACCCCTGTATTTTAGCTGGGCTTACAGCAGAGACTATTTCTTAGCTTCCTTTTAAACTAGGAATGGCCATGTGACTAAATTCAAGCCAATAGCAAGTGATCATAAGTGATGTATGCAAATTCTGGGACAACTCATAGCTGCTTGCCCTGCACTAGAGCCTTTTCCCCTCACTGCCAGCTGAAAATGGGAAGAACTGTAGCTGCGGTCTTGGACCTAGAGACAGAAGTCACACATTGAAGGCAGAGATAACTAGTTATGGAGCAAAGTCATTTACCCATCCTAGAACCTTTAAATTGTTGTGTGTATGGTGGGGGGAAGGACATCCTATCAAATTTAATCTACAGTATTTAAGCATTTTAGAATGAATCCTAACCATTGCATGTAGAATTTGAATTAGAAAATTGATGCAAGGTGTGTCGATAAAATTAAATCATGTTTGCAAGGGCTTCTTTTTGGATTTTTGTGCCACAGTAAGCTGTAGGTAGAAAAGGATAAATCAACACACTTAGTATATTTTTACATATATATGAAAGAATATTTTCAGTAAGTGTTCTGTGCATTTATGTGCATGCACACGTGCATGGGTTGAAAATACTTAAGAATTACATGATGACTTAAAAACATTTTTGAAGGCTATATTCTCCCAAAATATCCAAGGCTGATTAGATAAAATTCACATCTTAAACCATCCAGACCAAACATGTACATTTAAAAGTGATAGAAAATCAGGCTGGGTACAGTGGCTCACATCTGTAATCCCAGCACTTTGGGAGGCTGAGGCAGGCAGATCACCTGAGATTGGGAGTTCGAGAGCAGACTAACCAACATGGTGAAACCCCGTCTCTACTAAAAATACAAAACTAGCTGGGCGTGGTGGCACATGCCTGTAATCCCAGCTACTTGGGAGGCTGAGGCAGAAGAATCGCTGGAACCCAGGAGGCGGAGGTTGCAGTGAGCCAAGATTGCACCATTGCACTCCAGCCTGGGCAACAAGAGAAAAACTCCATCTCAAACAAACAAACAATAAATAAAATAAGGCCAGGCACAGTGTCTCATGCCTATAATCCTAGCACTTTGGGAGGCCAAGGTGGGTGGCTTGCTTGAGGTGAGGAGTTCAAGGCCAGCCTGGCCAACATGGTAGAAACCCATTTCACCAAAAATACAAAAATTAGCTGGGCATGGTGGTGGGCACCTATAATCCCAACTAGTCGGGAGGCTGACACAAGAGAATCGCTTGAACCTGGGAGGCAAAGGTTTTTAGTAAGCCAAGGTTGCACCCCTGCACTCCAACCTGGGCATTAAAGTGAGACTTCGTCTCAAAAGAAACAAGAAAATAAAAATAAATAAAAGTGATAGAAAATCAGATATGTGGATTTGATGTTGAATCTCTCTCGCCTAGTACAGAAAATTGTATCTGAAAATGTCTTTTAAAATAGACACAAAAATTTGACCATGTATGTAGCAGATTTTTGTGTTTTGGGGAGAGGGTATTACCCAGAATCCAATCCCCACTGCAATTTGAGGGAAGCCTTCATTGTAGGTCGTGTAGTGGAAGGTGATGCTTAATCTCCCACTTATAAGCCAAGAGTGCTAGACCTTGATTCTGTTTGCTTCTTGGCAGTCAGAGGTCTCTCTAGCTGGCTATATCACCTCTGGACTTTGACTCTTGTTCTAGTGATGCAGAGACAAAGGATCAGTAAGAATGTATTCCTGGGTCTTCACAAGATGGCTGGATAGGAACAGCTCTGGTCTGCAGCTCCAAGTGAGACCAACGCAGAAGGTGGGTGATTTCTGCATTTCCAACTGAGGTACCTGGCTCATCTCTTTGGGGCTGGTTAGACGGTGGGTGCAGCTCACAGAGGGTGAGCTGAAGCAGGGTGGGGGGTCGCCTCACCCAGGAAGTGCAAGGGGTCAGGGAATTCCCTCTCCCAGCCAAGGGAAGCCATTAGGGACTGTACTGTGCACTCCAGTCCAGATTCTGCACTTTTCCCATGATCTTCGCAACCCGCAGACCAGGAGATTCCCTCGGGTGCCTACATCACCAAGGTTTCAAGCACAAAACTGGGTGGCCTTTTGGGCAGACGCCAAGCTAGCTGTCAGGAGGCTTTTTTTGTACCCAAGTGGTACCTGGAACACCAGTGAGACAGACTGTTCACTCCCCTGGAAAGGGTGCTGAAGCCAGGGAGCCAAGTGGTCTAGCTCAACAGATCCCAGCCCCATGGAGCCCAGAAAGCTAAGATCCACTGGCTTGAAATTCAGACTGCTATGCTGGCAGTGAGAAGTCGACCTGGGACACTGGAGCTTGGTGGGGGGAGGGGAGTCTGCAATTACTGATGCTTGAGTAGGGGTTTTCCCCCTCACGGTGTAAATGAAGTCCCAAGGAAGTTCAACCTGGGCAGAACCCACTGCAGCAGGGCAAAGCTGCTGTAGCCAGACTGCCTCTCGAGATTCCTCCTCTCTGAGAAGGACAACTCTGAAAGAAAGGCAGCAGCCCCATTCAGGGGCTTATAGATAAAACTCCCATCTCCCTGGGACAGAGCACCTGGAGGAAGGGGCAGCTGTGGGCACAGCTTCAGCAGATGTAAGCTTTCCTGCCTGCCAGCTCTGAAAAGAGCAGTGGATCTCCCAGCACAGCAATTGAGCTCTGATAAGGGACAGACAGCCACCTCAAGTGGGTCCCTGACCCCCATGCCTCCTGACAGGGAAACACTTCCCAGCAGGTGTCGACAGACACCTCATACAGGAGAGCTCCAGCTGGCATCTGGCAGGTGCCCCTCTGGGACGAAGCTTCAAGAGGAAGGAGTAGGCAGCAATCTTTGCTGTTCTGCAGCTTCTGTTGGTGATACCCAAGCAAACAGGGTCTGGAGTGGACCTCCAGCAAACTCCAGCAGACCTGAAGCAGAGGGGCCTGTTAGAAGGAAAACTAACAGAAAGCAATAGCATCAACATCAACAAAAAAGACGCCCATGCAAAAACCGCATCCAAAGGTCATCAGCATCAAAGATCAAAGGTAGATGAGGAAAAAAACAGCGCAAAAACACTGAGGAAAATTCCGAACATCAAAATACATTTTCTCCTCCAGAAGGATCACAATTCCTTGCCAGCAAGGGAACAAAACTGGACAGAGTATGAGTTTGACGAATTGACAGAAGTAGGCTTCAGAAAGTGGGTAATAACAAAATTCTCCTAGCTAAAAGAGTAGGTTCTAACCCAAAGCAAGGAAGCTAAGAACCTTGATAAAAACCAGAACTGCTAACTAAAATAACTAGTTTAGAGAACATAAATGACCTAATAGAGCTGAAAAACACAGCATGAGAACTTCATGAAGCATATACAAGTATCAATAGCCAAATCAATCAAGTGGAAGAAAGGATAACAGAGATTGAAGATCAACTTAATGAAATAAAGTGTGAAGACAAGATTAGAGAGAAAAGAATGAAAAGGAATGAAGAAAGCCTCCAGGAAATATGGGACCAAACCAACGTTTGACTGGTGTACCTGAAAGTGACAGGGAGAATGGAACCAAGTTGGAAAACCCTCTTCAGGATATTACCCAGGAGAACTTCCCCAAACCAGCAACACAGACCAACATTCAAATTGAGGAAATACAGAGAACACCACAAAGATACTCCTTGAGAAGAGCAACTCCAAGGCACATCATCGTCAGATTCACCAAGGTTGAAACGAAGGAAAAAATCTTAAGGGCAGCCAGAGAGAAAGGTCGGGTTGCCCACAAAGGGAAGCCCATCAGACTAACAGCGGATCTCTCTCGCAGAAACCCTCAATAAGTCAGAAGAGAGTGGGTGGCCCAATATTGCAACCCATCCTTTACAAGAATTAGTTCACACCCAGCGAATTTCATATCAGCCAAACGAAGTTCATACAAAGGAGAAATAAAATTCCTTATACATACAAGCAAATGCTTTAGAGAATTTTGTCACCACCATGGTTTCAGTTGCCCTGCGCCTCTAATCAAGCTAGATTCCTCGAAGGAAGCAACTAAATATGTATGGATAAGGAAACACGTGGTACCTTATCCAGTGCAAAAACATATCCAGAATTGTAAAGACCATCAACACTATTAAGAGAAGACCCTGCATCAACTAAGGGGCAAAATATCTAGGTAGCACATTAATGACAAGGATCTAAATATTCACTAACAATATGTAATTACTTCACGATGTAAATGGACCTAAATGCCCAATTAGAAAGACACCGACTGAGCACAACTGGATACAAAAATCAAGACCACATTTATGTGCTGTGATTCCAGGAAGATTCCTCATCTCACTGGCAAAGATACAGGAACTATCAACATACGGTCTGCAAAAATAAAAGGGATGGAGGTAAAATTTACAAAGCCAAATTTTAACCTGAAACAAACCCAACAAGCAGGTGTATTCCTAGCCTCTTCATAAAAGACTTAAAACCAACAAAGACCAAAAAAGACAACGAAGGGCATTACATTAATGGTATACTGAAGGCAGATCAATCACAAGAAGTAATAACTATCCTACAAATAAATAAGCGTACACCAAATCACAGGCGCACCACAGATTCATAAAGCATCGCAGTCTTCGAGACCTACACCAGAAGATTCTAGAGCCTCCCACACCAATAATCATTGGGCGCGCTTTAACTACCCCATCTGGTCAATTTAGACAGTGATCAACGAGTCAGAAAATTAACAAGGCTGATATATCAGCGACTGCGAACTCAGCTCTGGGACCAAGGCAGACCTAATAGACACCTACAGAGCTCTCCACCCCAAAATCAACGAAATATACATTCTCTCAGGCACCACATCACATCTTATCTTAAAATTGACCACCATAATATGGAGAAAACACTCCTCAGCAAGTGCAAAAGAATGGAAACTTCGGATGACACAAAACACGTTTCTTCAGTACCACAGCTGCAATCAAATAGTAGAATGCAAAGTTATAGAAACTCACTCAAAAACTACACAACTTACAGTGGAAACCCTGATAACACCGCCCATGTATCCTTCAGACTCAATGGGCTAAAGTTATTGATGCAATCATGATGGCAGCAAATAATAGGAACGTCCTTTTTTGAAACTCATAGAACAAGACAAATACACTCCATGAAAATTCCTGCGGACACATTTAAAATCTAGATGGATGTTAGAGGGAAAAGATTTATAACCTACAATGCCCCACTGACCGGAGTGAAAAGACCAAGATCCTCATCCAT